TTTGGTGTTTTTTCGATTCAATTACTTATCTTATTTCTCTGATGTACTTATTCAGCACAGTATACATCACCATTATTTACCAACATATAACCCCAATGCGAGGGTGGGTATTCAGTGTCTCTCTTGTAGAATTTCATAGAGTTCTGATCGAAGAAATATTGGATGTCGATTTTGACTTTATGGTGATTCAAGTGAGATTTCTTCTCCAGAAGGTGATTGAGAGAGGAGAGCGGATAGTCGTTCGTTGACGCAGGATTAGTGCTACAAGGCGGAGCTAAAAGAACTGACCGCCCGAGAGTCTCCAATTTTTTAGGAATTTTCTTAGCAAGGCGACCTCAGAGAAAAATAGATTTTGTCTTCCTTTGCTTTCAAGTTGAAGGCGTTGCCATCAAGCTGTCAACGATTCTTCCCATCACTGACACTGGTATTAGTTGATGCCGGTCTTCAGCGCAAAGGCCCTCCCGTATTGCGCCAACGACTCAGGAAGTTCGAATTCAGAGGGAGTTGGGTTTTTACTGTCAGAACTCCCGAATCGTTTGAGCAAATCTACTGCGGCTCGTGGATTTGTTAGCACATTGCACCCAGTCCACATCACCAATGAGTATTATAGATGGTCATCCGAAGGAACTATAGGAAACCAACAGGAACTTGATGATGTCAGATTGGGTTGAGAACTGATTCGGGACTACAATTTTCCTTCGATCAGAACTCTATGAAAGTCCACAAGAGAGGCACTGAATACCCACCCTCGCATTGGCGATATGTTGTTAATAATAATGATGTATACTATGCTGGATAAGTAGATCAGAGAAATAAGATAAGTAATAAATCGAAAAACACCAAAGGTTCTCAAAAATTGTGGACCGACCTATATTACAGGATGTGCGGTGTTCCACTGCTATTCAGACTATACTATGAACTGCACGGAGCACTGGACCAGAAAAGGCTCGCGAGGCTGAACCTTGCTCATTTGCTTTGACTGACAAATTAATGTGTAAGTCGTTCATGGTATTGAAAGGGTAATACGAGTTTTCCTGATGAAGATCATATCCCCAGACATATTTTCTTCCTGAATTCATGGTTTAAGCTTAAGAGTGTCAATAAGGTGGGATTTTAGAGAGCATAACTGGTAAGAACAAAAATGACTTCGCGAACAAGCAACTCCATTGGTTTTTGTTGCTGCGAGGTGCCGTCTCGTCGTTGACGGCTACGGTGAGGGACGAGCCTGTGAATGGTACTGTATTACGCGAAACGACTACAAAAATTTGCGCATCACTCCATTTCCCATCTATCGGGAGACTCACATAATTCTATGTTTAATCTTTATTTAACGCTCTTAATCGATAATCATATTATGCCTTAATCTCTAATGATTTTTCAAACCCCCCTTCTTGATCTTTAATTCACAGATGAGTACCAGTTATTTATCTACACGTGACAGTTAACAATCAATTCTATTTCTCACAGAATTTCAGCCCAAACATTCGGATTTCCACAGCTTTTTTTCACAAGGGATGGAATTGGTCATGTCTTTTTACCTTGGCACTTCTTGTAGAGGCATCCTTTTCTTCGACACTGTCCGAAAAGTCGTCATCAGGAACAGCAACTTCAGACCCAACATGTGGATGGTCCGATGTTTCGTGGGGTTCACCGCTGTCAGGTGCGGTTTCATCTATGTCAACCAAAGCACCAAGGTTTGGATTGGCATGAATAACGGGCAGCGCGGGATCTGGCCGAGTATGGTGTACCTGAACAGTTCCAATGAGCAATTCAAGCAGAAAGAAAGAACAGAAAGTTATGTTCACCTCTTCAATTCTACGTTTCGTACTGGTAACAGAGCCGTATACTCCATCTCCAAGTACCGCAGCAAGACAAACGACGAGGACGAAGCGCATCTGTAGAAGAAGTTCTGAGAAACTAAATAGAACAGTCGTACTCAACGGGAACCGCCGAGACAATGGATTCCTTTTTCATGCGATCCTTTGAAGAAACCCATGACTGCTGTGTAAAGGTGTGACAGTCGGTCATTTCCTTGAGTTTGACTTCAAGGGCAAATTCGTCACACCTCACACTGCGAAAGGAATTGATGTTTAACGCTTGTTAACGCCGTCAGATGTAGGGAACCAACGACAGAATGGGGTATGTAGTTGTTAAGCATTGTTTCCATGGCTAGCTCAACCCCTGAATTAGGTGCAAAGATGGCTAGAATCACTCGAGTAAAACAGCAGCGCTACACTACGGAGGCCTTTTTTTATTTCTTCGCAAGGGGAGAAATTGACCAAGGGCGTAACACCTGGGTGTGGCTCACTTTAGCCTGAGTTTAGGGTACAGGACTCAAAAAGGAGATAGGAATGCTCTCTGGCTAGCTAACAAGGAAGAGAGCTAAAGAAAATGTCCAACTCCTGAAACGAAGCCCACATTTTTTTGCACTTAGTTTTGGGAAACGTAGAGGAATACGCGAGGCAAGTGAGGTATAGTTCGTTGACAAAATGTAAGATACAGCACGCTGAGCAACCCTTTTGAGATGCGCCACGCATTTCACTTCCATTAGCTAATTATTGTAGCTTTCGAATGCGAGTTGACTTATACAAGGGTTCATTATTCCAGGCGACGATGATGTCATTCACAAGAACCTG